ATTGAGGGCCCAGTCACACCATATCCAGTGCATTCCATCACAGTTTGAGCTTGTGCCTCAAACCTTGCCGTAACGCACTGAACATGGTGTGACTGGGCCCTAACAAGCAGATAAACTGTGCAGTGCAGGGGTAGCCTCACTGCAAGGGTAGTTTTTGTTTTTTACCTGGAGATAGGCTTTAAGTAATCCTATTCTTTTGCTACATTATTGGTCTATGTTGTTCTACTACTTTGCATCATTACTGATAAATGTTCTCTATTACTAATGTAATTTGTGCAAATGAACAATAAGCACATATTGTTTTTCAGAAATTATACATCAGGTTAATTTAGTATTGCCTCCTAATACTGAATAGTATCTGTACAGTATTATTATAGTAAAAATTGATACACAGGTCATCTAAACATTGATTACGGTTTAAAGTACGCCCCACGTATCCACCTTACTCGTCTCAAGAGACAGCTGTACCTGCAGCAATGCAGTGTACAGCTAAGAATAGAGTTGTCTCCCCTCAGACAAGGGGCACCAAAAAAAAACAACCCCAGGACAATCCTAAGGCAAAACAGTGGGGTCTCTATCTGTGAAGGTTCTCATTCATCCAGGTCATGGTATATCTGTAAAAACTAATCAAAGCAACTGGACGTGTTGTATTTTTATTGAAGACGTTTCGCTGAATTGAGAAAGCTAGTCGGATGACCAGCAAGACGACTTTCAGAAAAATACAACAAGTCCAGTTGTCTTGATTTATTTTTACAGCTATAGTGGGGTCTCAGCCTCTAGTGCAGCCAACAGCAAAGTCTAGGTAATGATGCCCAAAAGCCATTCTATCATACCACAACTACTCCTACTGTGCCAAACTACCCCAAACACACAGTATTGTTTTTACTTATATAATATTTGATAGAACCAAAGTCAAAACAAGTAGAATAGAAAAGGGTTGAGCCTTTTTCAAAATTGAATTGCTCCTTGCACTAACACTAAGGGGAAATGAGTAATCTCACTGTAAAGGACATACCAGTTTGAACCAACAAAGGACACAGAAGGCCATAAAATATTTCTTTTGTAGAATGGGGAATATTAAAAACCTACATCAGGTTTTTCATTGCTCCCTTACTTCCTGTCCAGATAAAACAAAAAAGGACACAAACATTGCTGAAAACCTGACAGATGTTGAAACCCTTCCACTGCAAACAAAAACTACAAAAAAAAAAAAAAGACTGGTTTGTTGTTTTTGTTTGTTTTGTATAGGATGCGGAATGATTAAACCTCCTGTCAGGTTTTTATTGCTAGATGGCCAAAGCAGTAAATGCCAGAACTAGAAAGTGTAAAGTCCAGGGTTAATTTTATTGAGAAACAAAATCCAAAAGCGCTACAGTTGACCAACAGATAAAATTGGTGCAATCGAGGTTGACTAGGGGTGCTGCCCCACTTCAGCTTGGGAAGCTGTAACACTATGGAAAAAGGGAAAAGAGAAGGGCGCCCACCCTAGTGTAGAAAGTTTCTTAATAACATGAATAAAAAGAGCAAGATAAAAACATACTCACAAACGTAGACCAATGAAAGCTTAGAAAACGAGCTTAAGCAATATCTAAAAAACGGCTGCACAGATGCCTGTGTGTCAGCACGGGATGTTGTTCTGACGAAGGGGGCGTGGCCCCGGAAACGCGTCATCAAAGGAGTCCCGTGCTGACACACAGGCATCTGTGCAGCCGTTTTATAGATATTGCTTAAGCTCGTTTTCTAAGGTTTCATTGATCTACATTTGTGAGTATGTTTTTATCTTGCTCTTTTTATTCATGTTATTAAAAAACTTTCTACACTAGGGTGGGCGCCCTTCTCTTTTCCCTTAATTTTATTGAGAGTTGAGAATCTTATGTCATGAAAAAACAGGGGTACTGAGGGTCCCCCTTCATCAGATCCTGAGGGGTATGAGTATGATCCATCAAGATGCTGATTTCTCTGCGCAACCAGCATCTGGAAAGATCACACTGATACCCCTCAGGATCTCAATTCAGACATCCCAACTCTCCCGGGAGTCTCCCGCTATTAGATAGCGGTTTGGGAGAGAAACATTTTCTCCCAGAAAGGTTTACTCTGCTCGATCTAGCAGAGTAAACCTTTCCCTGCTCTCTGGTTTTGTTTTTACTCTGATATCGGAGCCGCCGGACGCCGTCGGAGTTAAAAAAAAAGACGGCATAGAAATGAATAGCTAGATTGCAGCATTTTTGCAGATTGCACTGGACCGGAACGCAGGCACTAATGTGCCTGCGTTCTGAGTGCAGGCGATCGCACTGCGGGCGGGGGGCATGGCTGGGGTGCCATTGACTTCAATGCCCCGCCACGCCCCCTCCCGCCCCTGAATGCAGGTGTTTTTTCATTGGTAGATCTCATTGAGCTCGTCATTTGAAAAGTAGATCTCCAGACGAAAAATTGTGGGCGCCCCTGCACTAGACTATGTTAAGACTATGATAAGTGACAGACACATGTAAGTGGGTCTGGATGAATACCAACATAAATCCTTTGGCAGGCAATACACATGTATATCAAATGTGTATTTAGCAGTTGCCTAGAGTTCCACATCCAAGTAAAGCTGTCATAAAAAATAAAACAATGCCATTGCTAAACACCTTCAGAAATGCTGTTTTTCTGACCCATTAGCTATAAGACTTCAGGTTTCGACCTAAAAAAATATCCAGGTCAGGGAAAAACCTGCACATATATTTCAAGTCAGCATGAAAGCCACATAACTCTAATTTCCAGAAGAAGACCCCAGCAATGGCAGCCTCCACAGTTTTTCTCATTGCATATTTCTCACCCTTTGAACTCTGTTCACATGAGACATTTGTAGGCTGCCACTGATAACATTTCCTTCTGAGAATTCCAGTTGCCCGTTAGATGCTTTGTCTTCAGTACTTTATGAGTCCAAGTCTTGGAGTGAGCATAATTTGAAGGAATTCTAACTCTTCCCCTGACTTTTATTTCCTTTATGCTTGAAATGGGTCAGTGACTCAAACATATTAAAGTGAGCTACAGCCAGGCTACTTGCATTTTTAGAAGGAGGCCAGCAATGGCGTCTTTTGTATTTCTCACATGACAGGTATATTTTGAGCCCTCAGGGATAGCTCAGGGAAGACCAGAGCTATCCAATGCTATAGTGAAACCATGTGACTGTACACTCACTAAAGCAGGGTTAACCAAACTTCGGCCCTGCAGCTGTTGTGTAACTACAAGGCCCATGAGGCATTGCAAGACTCTGACAGCCACATACAAGGCATAAAGAGCCAAAGGCATGATCGGATTTGTAGTTTGACCACGTCTGGAGGGCCGGAGTTTGGCTACCCCTGCACTAAAGCAATCAGAAGATAAAATGAAGCAATATATCCCAAGCTGGCCACATACATTTCATCGTCATTTTTTTTTTTATTCAATCAGAATTTCTGAGTATTTTCTTACGATTTGCCAAATATCCATTTAGAGGTTTTTTTAAAATCAATATAAATTCTGAAGATACGTGCAATCAGAACAAGTTTAAGAAACCTCCTTTTATCAATTTGTTGCATGCATGGCGTGAGAAAAAAAACATACTGATCAAATCAAAAAAATGTTGATCAATCACAAACGTTTGACCACATTGAAAATGATCAAAAATATTTCACCCAGAATTCCTTTTTTTAAATTCAACCTCCAGAAAATTAATTGAAAGTGATAGAAAATGACCTCAATTTTTCATAGCTATGTTTGGAATATCAAAACAACCTGAATATCAAATATTTGGAATGAAACCTCTGTTTTCCCTGATGAAAAAAAAAATATTTTTTGACTATATTTAATCTCTTTTATAAAGAAAAACTGCACTGTTAGAGCAGATATAGTATCTGACAAAGCTCCTTGGTAGCTGAACAGAAGCTTACTAGAGGTCTGTATATTACATGGAAAGGGTTTATGTGTGCTCTACCCACCATGACCTGCAGCTTACACGGTTTGTTTGCACTCTGCTATGTTGCTAAATAAGCTTTCTTGGCCACCACTAGTGGATGCTTTTAGAAGAAAGAGTGAGGGACAACCTTATGTAAGACTAAATGAGTAGCCTAAGCCACCTCTAGTGGCCAACAGGAGTGATCTTCAGCAGCAAAGAACATTGTATATAGAGGCAGGGAGTTTGTTGATCACAGTGGATGAAACACACACTGAACTTTCCAAACAATGTACAGAGCCCCATTTAGCAATTTGTATACCATGCAGAAGCCATGAGAGCTAAAGCATTGGTACTGAAAAGAGATATTCTTTAGGGCCCACTGGTAAAAACAGGCTGCCAACGCACCAAAATGTCCTGAAAATTAGACATGTCACACAATTTGTAATGGAGCACACTATGGTGCATTGCCATGTGTTACCTTGCTTTGGGGTGAATGGCACCGCAGTGCATCAACACATGTAACCTGCATTGCCGTGCATTGCCACAACACAAAGATATAGATGGGCTCTTAAACTTACCAATGTGAGGGGCACTAAATGGCACTTCAGAACAGTGGACTGTAAATGCGCATGAAAACAGCAGATTAGAGTACAACTAGATTAACAATCGATCAGACTAGCTGGACATTTTGAACATTGAAGATCTAAATTTAAGTGTCGGTTTTCAGTACATGGGCATGATACTCAACAGAAAAGCCATACAAATGTCTGATCATCTCTTAACTATTTTCCCAGCTTTTGGGTACCGTTAGAAAAATCGGGAAAAAGAAAGGCTTAACTACGTGTGAAATATTTTGTAGCAAGAGAGAGAAACCCCTTTCTTCCTAATTTGCAACACTTTGATTTCAGTGTAAGCGGCAGTTATCCACAAGGTGTAAATCTCATGCCAACAAGCAACTAAAACCACCGCATACAGTGTAGAGCATAATGACCTCAGACAAAGCAAGTGACCATCGTTATCCTTTTCAAAAACATATCTGACATAGGACAATTTATAGGATAGAATTAGAATACTGACTGTTCAAGTCTGTTGAACCTCACTCATGCCAAATATTATGATAATACTCTCCTTTTAATAAGCATTCTCAGTTTTTTGCTCTTGAACACTTCTCTCTCATACAAGCAAAATCCCAAGAAGATGGAGGTTTCCAAGACCCCCTCCAGCTGGTCCAAATTATTTCGAAGCAGATGCAGTCTCACCACTGCCCTTGATGTTCTCCAAGTCTCAAGCAAATAAACTCCTTTGATTTGCCACCAACGCTGTCTGGCTCTCTCTTCTTTTCGCCCTTTTATTACGTTGCCGAATTTTCCAGCACAGAGCACTCGAGCAGACCAGGAGAAGTCCAGAAGACAGTAGGACCAGCCCAAAAACAGAGATTATTGATCCGTGAGAGTTGAAGCTATAAGCCACTGCTGTGACCACAATTCCCACTATAAGAATAACCACTCCAAAAGGTATTGTGCAACGATAGCAAGACAGCTCAGCTCCACCTGTCGCTGCAGTTAGCTGGGTTTCATTGACTCTCGGAACCGTTACAATTACACAGTCATTGTTGTGTTTCTCCATCATCATAGGATCTGAAGCCTTTGGAGGACCCATGAAGATCTCTTTAATGGGTTGCTCCATCATTTTGCTGAAAGAAAGTCTTAAATGATGTCTTAGAAAGCTTCAGTATTGGGTCCAAATTGTCTAAAGCTGCATAAATACATGAAAAGTGTTTAGAAACAAAAAACAAGTACATACTTACAGTAAACCTAACATTACAAAAATGGAAATAAGAAAAAACAAGCCTAAAAAAAGAAAAGAACCTAAAGTATTTCTAAGCCAAAACCTTTTTTGAAAGAGTAAGAAAGAGTTAAAACTTCTGATTTTTTCACATCTGTCTCCTTAGGAAGAATTGCCTTTATTTCCTGTCCCATAGACACAACAGGAGGTTAGAGGAAATCTTTCAAAAGCGGGGGGAAATCCTTTTAGACAGTTATCACCCGTTGGAAGATTTACCCTCTATTGCTGTTCTGGTGGCAACTCAAAATGTTGGATTTCTCCTCACTGTCAGTCCTGATGACAATTTTCACTAAAATAAATAGAGGGAATGAATCTCCTCAGTGGGTACGCAGAGAACAATATAAGCCAGACAGTGGGGGCAACCACTCTTTAAAAAAAAGAAGATTGTGAGAGAAAGAGACGTTGTATCAACACAGTACCTCAGGGGTGGAACTATCAAAATTGAATATTGCTTCTGGAAACTGATACTGAAGGGGCATTTGCTATGAAAATATCCGTTAGCAATGCTTGGCAACAGAGTAGTAACACCTGATATTCTGTGAACATGCAAAACTCGGTTCGCCTGAAGAAGGGACCCAAATTGTTCCAAAACGTCGCTACACATTGTGACATACCTTTCTTTTGTCAATAAAGAAGAATTGGCAGAATTGGCAGAATATGCTTTGGTGTGCTGGTGACTACTTTTGGATTTGTACATGCAAAAATATAGCCGCATCATTACTCAGCAATTGAACATGATCATAATTAATGAATCATACATAAGCTCATAAGAGTTCTAATGGGTGTCAAAAACTGAAAAACATTGTTAGTTTTAAAGTGTATGTATTGCCAAAACATTTTCTTTTAGGCCTGGATAAAGTAGGGAAGAGGTAAAACCCATTAGCTCATTTTTCGCCTTCTGCATCCCATTGGAGAGATTTACTTACACTTCCTGTTCCAGAAATATAACAGAAAGTGAACAGAAATTAATGCAAAGTGAGGGTAAGTCCCTCTTGGATAGTTGTCACCAGAACAGGAGTATCCGTTAGAAGATCTACTCTTACATCTTGTTCTGGTGACAACTGTAAAATGTTGCATTTCTCATCACTTGTCTCTTGGTAATCATGGCCACCATGGCAAATACAAAGTGTAGGACAAAAAGACAGGGATTCTAATCCTCCTACAGGATATCCAAAAATAAAATACCTACACTCAAATGGATTTTTATTAAAAAAGAGTAAACTTTAAAAGTTCCTCGGAATCCTTCTCCAGCTTAAATACCCCAAACCCAACAATTGCATTTTACATATTCTGCACACCATGAGGTTGATTTACTAAAGGCAAACAGACTGCTTGCTTCGCAAGGGAATTTGCACTTTTCAGGGGGATGTTCCCTTAGCTTAGCGAATGTGGTGAGATTGCCCTTTGCAAAGAATACCCAATCCTATGCAAGGGGAAAAAACAGTATTTTAGATAGCATGTGATTGGATGATGGAAGTCAGCAGAGCTTCACCTCATTCACTAAATTAAGGGGACACTTTCCCTGTAAAGTGCAAAGTGAAGAGCATACTTGCCTGTTCGTAAATCAACCCCCATTGGTCAAACCATCAAATCACAGAGTTCCATTCTGGTATAGGGGAGCTGATGGACAGTTTTTTTTTTTCTAAATGGAATGATTAAAAGTCTGTTAAGCTTTAAATAGCGCTTTCTCTGAATTAGGCTTACAGCCCTTATAGTATATAATACCATTATATAGTATGTTGCACTTCTGGAAGTTAAAATGTGAAAAGATCATTAGAATGCTTTCATCTTCATATTCCATTTATAATGTTTAGACATATATTTTAGAATAGCTTCAGGTCACAAAAATAAAAAAGAGCATCCAATCTCCTGAAAATACACAGAGGGGAGTTTATTAAAACTGGAGTGGACAGAATCTAGAGCAGCTGTGCACAGCAACCAATCAGCTGCTCTCTTACATTTTCAAATCCTAATTGAAGAAACTGAAGAAATAAGCTGATTGGTTGCCATAGCCAACTGCTCCATATTTTGTCTGCTCCAGTTTTGATCAATTCCCCCCTCAGAATGTTTGTCAAAAGTTGTACAAGATGTAAAGAAAAAATCATATTGGATTGTTAGTTTTAATATAACATGTTGTAAACAGCATGTTGGACTTACGAGGCTTTGCAGCATCTTTATATATATATATATATATATAATATTGGCAACAGACAGACAGACAGATAGATAGATAGATAGATAGATAGATAAGACAGATAGATAAGATAGATAGATAGATAGATAGATAGATAGATAGATAGATAGATAGATAGATAGATAGATAGAATAAATAGGCACTATATTGGCACACACATATCAAATCAAAAGCAGTATTATAGCATAAAATATTGCCACTTGCATGTAATAATTACATTTTATAAATGACTAAGTTATATGTTAATACAACATATACATTAAAAAAAATTAACACATTGCCAACATTTATGCATTTAAAAAAATAATCTTTGGATACTTCAAACGAATATTTTTTTCAAATTGCTGAATTACCAAATGTTAAGAAAAAAGAAATATGTCATGCCAATAAACCTACTTTACGTTTACAATGTACTACAGGTTTTGCAAAATATATCTATTTTTTATGCATTAGTCTTCTTTCATATATTTTTACAACTATATAATATAACTATACAGTTTTAGCAACTTGTTTTTATAGTGGCCACCTTTATTTTTCTAAATCTCTGTGCATAAAATGCCAGCAGTCTTGTAATACCAAGAAAAGAGCAACAATTGCAATTTACAAGCAAGCATTCAAATTGGAACCTACCGTGAAAATCTATAATCCATGGTATGACAAATCCCCCGGAGTGGTTAATCAACAAAACATGGGTTTTGACTCAGTCCAGTTTGTGTTCAGCAGGAAATATTCAGAGTGCGCCTGCTGGCTTTGAATAGCAGTCTGCAGCTCAGGGCTGAGTTACAGATGACACATCGTTAGCTCCGAGGTTTTCTATGGAAAGAAAAAATTGGGAGGCAAATCAGAAGAGAGTGAATAGGCGTCTGTTAGCAGTTATGACTGGGCTGTGCAGAGGAGAAAGGGGCCAGGCTTTGAGGGAGTGGGGGGTGTTCTCTCTAGATTTAAGGAATCATTCTGTGTTTTCCAGCTACATAGTCAAATGGTAGCATAATACATTGGTCAAAAGGCCATTTACCTCTATTGTTTTTTCTAGGTATTAGGTTCCTACAAAGGTTTTCATGAGTAATGTCTCACCTTTAAAGCCCAACTGCAGCTAAACCTTCCGTTTTTGAAAAAAAAAAATTTAAGCTGAAGATGAGCTTTCAAAATTGGTAGAGACTGAAGGACTGTACACCAAGTATACAATTAAAGATACATTGCTTGATGGATCTTGCAAGTACCAGGCAAGCACTTTTAAGCCTCCAGTTGACCATACTTTAAGTGACAGTCCAGCTGGGGCGATCTATGTGTCAGCCACCCAAGGTAGGTATAAAAGTAGAAAAGGGCAGACCAGAACTTGCATATTGTAGTGTTGGAGAGCTCTGGCCACCACTTTTCTTTACCTGAAGTCCTTCAGAAAGTTGTAGAAGTTGTATTGTAAAATGATTATGACCTAATGAGTGACCCAATTGCTGGACCATTGAATTAATCAAAAATCTTCCCGTAAGATTACACGTGTATACCTGTGTATACCATGCCCTGTTTTATTCATGTTACTTAAATGTAAAAGTTTCTCTTGTGTAGATATCCAAAAGCCCTGGGACTTCTGCTGGCCACCAGGGACGGATTTCCCACAAGGCCACAGAGGCCGGGCCTTGGGGCAGCAGGGAATAGAGGGGCAGCACAGCCTTCTGGCGGGTAGTTTTTTTTCTACACTTTGCCCTGCTTTGGGCAAGTATGGCGAAATGTACCGCTGGGAAGCCGGTGTTTTAGTACAAGTGATCCCAGCAATGTTGCCGAGATACCTGGTAATATGCATGCATCTCTGTGTCCCCCCCGCCCCCTCTATGGTTCGCCCCTACCTCACCTGGCTGCCTCTCCCCACTGGCCTTCTCACTTCTTGCTATGGTTTTCGGGGTCCCCCACTCCCCTGGGGGACCATGGACCACAGCACATTAATTCACGATGAAGAGCAGGGAGCAGAGCAGAGAACATCCGTTCTCCGCTCTGCTCCGTGTAAACACTGAAACGGAAGAGATGCACTTGCAGCCTTCCCCTCTAAGCTGTCACGGGAGTTCCAGCACAGTGCTGGGCTACAACTCCTGTAATGGAGGTGACAGGTTCAATAAAGAGAACCTGTCACCTACAAATGCTATCACACAGGGGCTTGTTAGCTCCTGTGTCATAGAAATAAAGTTAAGGTGGGAAAATTTTTAAAAAAATTGATTAAAAGTAAAAAATAATAAAATAAATAAAAAGTAAAAGATAATAAGAATTCATTTTTTTAAAAAGTGACAAAAAGTTAAAAAAATTATAAAATAAAAAATTATAAAAGATAAGAGAAATAAAAATTTAAAAAAGTTAAAAAAATAAATAAAAATTAAAAAAAATGATAAAGTAAGAAACAATAAATAAAAAATTAAAACCAACCCTGCAGCCCTCTGCCATCTGGTTGCCATTCTTCATTGAGGAAGGGGGGGTGTTTGGCGGGTAGGAGGCGCATTGAGGAACCCGGCCTTGGGGCAACAGAGAACGTAAATCCGGGCCTACTGGCCACTGCCATCTTAGTTGTGGTATCAGCAGTCTTAGAGCTCTCACTCAAGTTTTCCCCTTTGCTCTTCCTCCAGCAGTTTCATAAAAGGTTACATTGGGAGGTGAGGGGAGAGGGGGAAGAGCTGGGCCAGCATAGAGAGTAGTTAAACTCTCCCAGAAGAGGTGAAGGCTATGACATACAAGAAGGGTGAGGGCTGTGCTAGGGAATTGTCTCTCTTGGAGTAGTCATGTTTTCTAGCAAGTTCAAAGACACGTTGCACATGAGTAAAAAAAATCATTAATCAGTAAGTAATAAAATACCTGATTTTACAGTGCTTTTCATTTTTTTAAAGTTGGGGACACAGTCTCTTTAAGAAGCCTCTTAACTGAACATACATTTTTTGTTTTGCAGACAAAAGGGAAGAAAAAGGGAAATTCAAAGAGGAGGATGGGAAGCAGGTCATCAATTAGTGAAACAGTTACATTAATAAATATATTGTTGCTGTATTTAGATTACATATTCAATTTTTTTTAAAATAGAATGAGAGCCCTAACAGGTTTTCAAAATAAAAAAGCAGCTCTGCCTGCAATACTCTTAAACCAGGGCTGCCCCCTGCTGCACCTCTTCTTCGCCACAAGATGTCCTCAGTCTTCCTGCATAAATAACACCCAGAGATTGGGGATGGAGGGGCTGAGCCCAGAGTTGGGTTTTAAAAATAAGTCAGCTATGGAACCTCCTTTATTTCTCTGTTTACCCAAAATGTTAACTGGCATTAAAAAAATAATTTCCTTTAACCACTTGCTGCCCGGAGCAATTTCTTACATTTGCACACACATGATAAAATCAGAATGTTTGGCTAGAAAAGAGCTTCAAACTCCCAAACAATTCTATATTTTCTGAAAGCAGAGGCCCTGTAGAATAAAAAGATGCTAGTTGCAATTTTTTGTGTCACACGGTATTTGCACAAATGTTTATCAAACAAGTATTTTTAGGATAAAATACGCTAAAATGAAATTTAGTGCACAGAAACAGAATATAATGCCCAATTTTTTGGTAAAATATAAAAGACGGTGTCATGCCGGGTAAATAGATACCAAACATGTCAAGCCTTAAAATTGCGTGCGTCCGTGAAGCCGCAGAGGGGGGGACGACGACGACACAGCGCCGCACCGTACAAGCGATCCGGCGTCTGTACGGATCACTTGTATTTAAACAGCAATCACCGGCTGTTTAAACCACTTCCAGTGGATGACGTACAGTTACGTGAACCTGCGGGAAGCGATTAGGAGTGATCCAGAAAAGCTGCTTGTAAAAGTTACTTGGCACGAGTAAACGACTTTGGTGACAGTAAATAACACGTTGTACTATATACAACTTTTATGGAGCTAGCACTATGCCTTTCTTCTAAAAGCTGAAGAACAATAAACTCGCAATGACTGATTAAATGTAGTATAATGTCTTCTGAAGGACAAAACTAGTCAGTGAGTAGTTTGCGATTGTGTAAAAGTAACTTTTTCTCTTTTCCTTCAGCTTTGACATTTCACATTTTCTAACTGTGACATATCTGAGGCATATTCTTAATTTTCTCAGTATTTTACCTCCTTCCCCACGTTTCATTAAAGTGAATGTTGATACACATGTTCTGTGCATGTAAGCTGCGATGTGTACAGAAAAAAATGGCCGCTGGATTCACATTATTCTTACCGATTGCCAGCAACCGCAAGTCATTGGCAGCTACGTCATCCTCAGGGGAGACGCTGTGCCAGCAACTAAAACAGTTTAGTTATGTGAAGTCCCACCCATGTAATACCAAAATCCAAGAAAATTGCAGACATAGCAAAGAGTGGGAACAGCTTCTAATGTTTAAAGAAAAAAGTAACTAGCAAAAACTCTACTGCAATTCAGTGAATATACATTTTGAGTAATGTTTACCTTAATGTGTAGCTAAACCAAAGTACAAAAATGTATTATATTGCAGCTTACTGGTCCTTACCATATGTGCTGGCTGGATCAGTTTTCCTTTAATTTCCCTTGATGATCCCTCCAGTAACACCAGGGATCCCAACCTGAAAAAAGTAATTTCAGGGAGGTGCCCTTCTCATTTCAGGGAGATGCCCTCTGACACCCCTCCACCCCCTTGCCCCCCATCTGAGCACCCCCCTGAAATGATGGCAGATAGCAAAGAAGCTATTGCTTCCCTTGCTATCTGCTGGGGTTTTTTTCAGTATTCTGACAGCTGCTGCCGTCAGAATAAAAAAAAAAAAAGACAGCATAGGAATGAATAGCTAGATTGCTATTGGCTATTTCAATTTACAATAGCCAATAGCAAGCTGGCTATTGTACCCGCTTTCTGCTGCTGTCAATCAGCAGAGGAGGACCTGATGGAGAACTTCAGGTCCACCTCTGCTGATTGACAGCAGCAGTGGGCGAGTGCAATAGCTAGTCTGGTATTGGCTATTGCAAATTGAAATAGCCAATAGAAGCCTAGCTTTTCATTCCTATGCTGTTTTTTTTTCCTGCGGACCCAATGTCAGAAAAAAGCACAAAAAAACAGACAGCAGGGAAAGGTTTACTCTGCTAGATCAAGCAGAGTAAACCTTTCCGGGAGAAAATGTTTCTCTCCCAGGCGGTCGGGAGACACTATCTAATAGCAGGAGACTCCCGGATCATCCAGGAGAGTGTTGGGATGTCTGTAACACACAGAGAGTCATTTATAAAAGTTCTGCCCAGCGTATAGCAGGGCAGATTCCATTTGCATAGCACTATCGCCCCCTAGGTGGCGCTGACGAGTATAGGAATTTCCTTTACTCATAAGGGCCATTTAGGAGAGCTAGTGCCATGCCAACAGGAACTTTTATAAACGCTCACTCATTCTACTGTATCTATGGAGTTGTCACCTTGGGTTGCTCTCCTGATTTGGACTACAAACACTTCTTACCTCTCCACATCATAATTAAATAGGGAGGAAGTGTCTTGTAGTTCATCAGCCATAGCTGGAAATGCTGACAACATGGTTTAATAATTAAGTTCTGTACTTGCAGCAAATAGCCGGTAGAATAAAAAAAAAAAAAGACAGCATAGGAATGAATAGCTAGATTGCTATTGGCTATTTCAATTTACAATAGCCAATAGCAAGCTGGCTATTGTACCCGCTTTCTGCTGCTGTCAATCAGCAGAGGAGGACCTGATGGAGAACTTCAGGTCCACCTCTGCTGATTGACAGCAGCAGTGGGCGAGTGCAATAGCTAGTCTGGTATTGGCTATTGCAAATTGAAATAGCCAATAGAAGCCTAGCTT